CTTGTTGACCTATTAGTGTACTCTAATTTGATGTCCACTATTCCTCTTTTTTGTTTTCTTTTATTTTTGTATTTAAGTGGAATTACCTCCTTTCTCATCCATCACCCAAACATTCCATCAGCTTGCTTTTTTTTTTTTTAAATGTTTTTCATCTAATTCATTTATTTCTAGTGTTTTATATTTGTATTTTTTCATCCTATTTTACTTTTTTATATGCTTACGAATTTAGGAAGATGCCTCAGTGAAAGGAAAAAATTTAAGAAAAAGAATATTAAAAAAATAGAATCACTTTGGATCACTAACTAAAGTTATCATTTTTTGAAAAGTATTCCGGATTTCAAAACGCGCGTTCCATAGCGTAACACACCCTAGTATTAATGTTTTATGGTCGCACTGGTTCCATGGTTGAAGCTGAGAGGATAAGTAGTGAGAGAGAGTTCTTTGATAAACCAAATAACATCTTATTATTGGTTCATGTGCATTCCTATGCTGCCTCACTGCTAGTTTCTGTACATCTTTGCTTATATGTTATTTTCATATTCAGCTTCCCTTTTCTGAATTATGGTCTCATATTGTGACATACAGATTGCCGGCCTCCTTTCACAATGGCCATTGGAAGTACACGCTTTTTTAGTGAAGATGTGACCCACTTTCCTGACATAAAAGACCCTGAAATTCTATTTGTTTTTAAGGACTTAATGGCTGCAAGTTGGGATGAGCTTCCAGATACACTCATCAGTGATGCAAATAAGGCTTTGTCTAAAAATACAGACGACAAGGCTGCCCAAGAAGCTGTGGCAAATGTTTTCCGTGCAGCTGAGGCAGTTGAGGAGTTTAGTGGGATGCTCGTGTCTTTGAGGATGGCAATTGATGATAGCACTGGATTGGGTGGCGAGGTGACATAAATTATGTGGGAAAAATGACTTTTTTTGTTTTGTCTCTCAAGTTCTTGTGGTCTAATGATTTAAAATTTTACTAATTGTAGGATGTAAAACCCTTGCCGGAGGAATTTGTGAACGCATTGCGTACAGTCTATCAAAGATATACTGCATATTTGGATGCTTTTGGGCCAGACGAGACCTATTTGCGTAAGAAAGTTGAGACTGAGCTTGGAACGAAAATGATACACTTAAAGATGAGGTGCAGTGGTATTGGTTCTGAGTGGGGAAAGGTATTGTAGTTTTTGCATTGCTTTCTTGTCACTATGTTTATTTAGAGCACTCCAGTCCAGCCATACCACAATATGTAAGTTTTATGAGAGCCTATTTTGCTTGGTGTGTGAGATTTAAGGTGCTACATATTGTGGGCTCCTAACCAATTATAATAGTTCTTTTGAAACAGACATGAAAGCACACTAAAGTAAACATCAAATTGTGTTTACAATCAGCTTGTCTTTTAACTTACGTGATCTGTACATAATTGCACGTATGCAATGGTGTATAGTGTTAGTTTGGGCAAGTTTAGATGAAGATTAATCTTTTCAGGAAACTCAGATCATTTGTTCTGATCATTTATTTTGTGGGAAAACCCCTTCCTTAAATTGTTTTGTGTTGTCTTAAAAAACTTTACATACTGAAATAAGTTAGTAGCCTTGAGCTGCTCCGTTTTTTTGGCTGTACATGAAATTGGTCTAGATGAAAGGGTAGCTTTGCCCAACGGTAATGCTTACCATTAGCGTCTTTGATGCTATGGATTCTAGTCACAGAACAGTCTCTCCAAAAATGGGGCAAGGTTGTGTACATCTTGCCCTTTCGAGATCCAGCTTTAGCAGGAACCTTGTGTACTGGGCTACCCTTTTTATGAAATTGGTCTAGATCCTTAAATGCAGGTATGGTGTGACAATGTCTTGACCACTAATTACACCAAATGAATATCAGCTGTCATGAATTTTATGACTCATGCCTGTAACCATTCTTTTGTGCAATATTGTGAAGAATATAAAGTTTGTTTGTTTAATTATTGAATCAGTTTCTGTTTTGATTGCAGGTTACAGTTCTGGGGACTTCTGGACTTTCAGGTTCCTATGTTGAGCACAGAGCTTAGTTTCTTGGAGATGGTTAAAAACATCATGTGTTCATGTTGTCTTTTCTCTTGGGGAACTTTATTCATGTTTGTTCCTCTTTCAGACATTTTACTGGTGCTGTCATTAATCTTTAAATAAATCCAGTTTGATCTCATGTGTTCTGCTTCTTCTTTTCTTTATTTATTTTTTAATGAAGTTTGGTGAAACTAATAATTACAACTTAATGTTGCACATAACATCAGAAAGCTCATGTAAGGAAATTGGTTTCCTTTGGGTTAGAAATGTTTGTTTGCCATTAGTTTGTCCTGTCATTTTGAGCCATTGTTGAGTTTTGCTTGGTTCCCATTTTTTAAAAACAGTTTTCAGAAAATTCTACACTATTATTTTTCGTGTTTTTTTGTTTTTACTGAATTTTTTTAATATTTTATGCAAATTTTTACTTTTTAGACACACCTAACATAAATACACCTAAAAAGTAAAAAAATTGTAAAAAAAATCTTTTAAAAATTCACTAAATACCAAAAATACAAAAAAAATACAAGAATTTAGTACATTTTTTGTATTTTTATGTATTTCTTAATTTTTTAAAATATTTTTTCACAATTTTTTTACTTTTTAGACACATCTAAGTAAGGTGCATCTAAAAAAGTAAAAAAAATGTTTAAAATTTTAAAAATTTAAAAATATTCACTAAAAATAAAAAAACACGAAAATTAAAAAATTCAGTTTTCAAAAAACTTAATCCAGAAAATTCAAATCAAACGTAGTGATTTGTATTTAATAGTGTTTGATTACCTTATATAGGAAGATTATAGCATCATCTAAAGTAGATTTATATTATATGATGCTGATGAAGGATGGTGCAATTAAGGAAAACCGTACGCAAACCAGAAAATTTTCACTAAAAAATGTCCATCCAGAGTGATAAGGCTTGATTTTTTTTAATTAAAAAATAAAAAATAAAATTCACTATTTGCATATCAGGAGATATCCGAGTGAATCCACTTTTAATCCTAAAAAGATAAAAATAAAAAATAAAAAATAAACCTGCACAATGAGATTAAAGATTGAGAATGAGTAAGCCTATGAATTCATAGACACGAGGGAAATCATTTAATAGAAAATAAATTCAAATGCCATGGTGGTTCACAGTGAGATCACCATGTCAATTCTGGGAAGAAAAAATGGAGTAACATAACTAAAAAGTAGTTGATGTTAACCAACATTTCCTTGGTAGGGATGTGGGAAAGAGCCCTACTTTATTTGCATGACAAAAAAAAAAAAAAGAAAAAGAAAAAGAAAAAAAAAGAAACAATGGTAAAACTCACTTTGCAAAGTTGCAGAAGAAATGATCCTACAAAGGAATCTTTTTCCTTCACAAATCAAGATCTAAACAAAGCCTTATGTTACGAAAGAAAGCAAATATAAACCCCAAAAAACCTGTTCCATAAATTTAAAAAAGATGATCAACTATTTGACCATATGAATTATAAACCAACAAGCACACTGTTTTTTCAAGTGTGCATGTCTATAGAATTCTCACCAATCTAAAGCTCCTTGCACCAGAGCTCTGAAGCATTCAGCAGCTATCAATTGTTAAAAAATTACATTATTATTGTTATAACTGGTTGCTATTTATTAAGTTTAAGAGAATCGAACATCTTTCCAAAGATGTGTATGCAATAGCCGTAAGGAGTCAATAATCACCTAGCTGGCTATTAAAAAAAAAGAAGAATTTTCTTATCAAAAGGGCAAGCTGGGGAAATTCCCCGAAACTTTGAGGTGAAATGATCCACCTCCTCAAACATTCAATCCAACATGTGCATGACGTGGAACAGAGTGAAAGTGAATATAAACCACGAGATCAATTTGTTGAATCATTAGACAATAATTTTAATGGAAGATAGATGTACTTACTAATTGTGTTTCCCATCATGGAACTGAGCATTTTTTGATGACTTGAAAGTTTTCAAAAATTCTGTAGCCTTTTGTACTTTTGCTTCTGCCTTGACTTGCTCCAATTGTGTTCAGCAGCCAGTATCTGAATTATGCGGGATAATGCCCGGCCTGCTGCATCAGTGTCAAGAAAAGCAAGCTGAGATCTCCTAGCGATGAATTCTACTGCAGATTCACAGTACTCATGCCTAGCACAGTATACCATCTCAGCTTCTAGAAAGGGGTATCCATGGGCAAGTTGCTTCCCCAAATGTTCATTCTAGAAACAAATAAATATAGGGTTTACACAGTCAATTGGCAGGAACCACAAATTACGTGCATCAAAGATACAATTCCATCACGGTACACCCCGAGTATCCAGAAACTGATCTAACTCTGCTAGTAGGATTTTCATGCATAACTATAAGTATTGCATAGGATTGTCATTACATAATTATAAGAAGTATTCCACCTCAATGAATTAAAGGGATTTATCTATAGATAGGATTTCATCAAAACAGAGAGAAGAAAAAATTCACCTAAACTTGATTTGGTGTTCTTCCAATGCAAAACAAAGAAATTGAGAATGAGACAGTGTCAACATGATGTTTGCTTTGCTACCCCATAAAGATAAATAATTAGAAACCCCATATTCTAATGGTAAGAAACCATTAATTGAAATGTAAATAATCCAGGTATAATCCCCAGGTGCGCACCACCACACTCGTTAGCCAGTGATCTGAATTTAGAAACAATTCAATATGAAGTTTGTTATATCCACATCATGAGCAAATGGATGGGGATGTATCTAAGATGCTGCATGTAGGTTCTGTATCAATCCACAAACAAGTAATTTCTAGCCAAGCATCTTGATGATTGAGAAAACATATAGTAGAGAATCATATCACTAATTCTGCTTAAATAATTCCAAGAAAATTAATGAACCACATATAAATCAACTCAAACCACTTCCTTCGTCTGCATGTGAGTATCTCCCATGAAAAAACTAGCACACGAGAAACTATGAGAAAAGTGTTTCTCGTGTGCTAGTTTTTGAAAAGTGTAATCGAGCAGAATATCTTCATCTATTTATTGAAAAGTGTTTCAACAAAAAATAGTGAAGTACAACAAATATCAATTGCCAAAGTTATGTCACAGACTGACAGCTTAAACTTCTAGAAGAATATAAAATAAATTGCAGAAAAAAATTACAGTAAACAACTAAGACTTCATAGGGAAAAAGAATGCTAGAAATACGGAATGAAGTATCAAGCAAGGGTGTCAAACCTGTGCTATTGCAGCCACCCGTTCAGCCAAAGTACCATATGCATGGGACAAATGCTTTGCTGTGGCAGTGTCCATCACTCCTGGCACAACTTTACCACTGTACGACTGCTTCATGCAGACATATTGTTGGGCAAGCACCGTAAAAGATGCAGGGTCATATCCATCTCCACCAATAAGACGTAGGTTGTATGTCAAACATTTGTTGGTAGGACTCAGCTTACCAGACTTGATAGCCGTATCAACTACATCTTCTGCCATGCTTACTCATGTAAAGGAAACAGAAGTTTCATTAGAATAGATTGACAGGAAAAAGTTGCGTCACACTTCTAATATTGATTTCACTATAAATTAAGGTGACATAACATGCTGTTATATCTGCAACAAATAAGCCACAAAGAAGGGGCATAGAACTAGAAGTGCTAGCACAATGAGTATTTAACTAAATTCAGGGACATGATTGTACAAAAGCATCAAAAAGAAGATGCCAGTGCATACAAGTTTCAGTTTCCAAAAACTGATACAAATTCAACAACTTACAGGGAAACCAGATCAACCATTATAAAATGTACCTTCTACATGTAGTCCACTTTCCACCAGTAATTGTGACAAAACCAGGGTAATCTTCGCATACAACATGATCCCTGGAAATGCTCTCAGTGTTGCCAATGGGTGAATACCACTCCAAGCAGAAAGAACATCTACATGCCGTACCTACATTGTCCTGGTATATTTTTAGTAGCCACTAAAAACTGAATAATTAAACAAAATAGATGACACCTAGGTTGAGTCACATCCATATAAATGGACCAGAAGAAAACTAAAGTTTCCCTAAGAAAACAAAATTGAAGTAAGAAACTAATGAATTTGTGATGATGTCTTGACGTGTTCATGAAAAATATTTAAAACATCAACCATTATTGCTTCTTAACAGCATGATTGTATTGGCAAATATCCACCAATACAAAAAACTAATTGGTCCACAGACCTGGAAGGCAACTAGACCAAATAAGCAAGTTAAGTCATAAATTTGAGATCCCAACTTCTTGAGGTAAGCCTAGACTTGAGAAGATCTCTAGTATGGGAAGGAGCTACTAAAACTGGAAAAACCACAGAATATTCTTCTCATCTTCTGTGACAAACTATAAATCAATGAGTATTTGGATCACTTGGATAACATTACAAAACTATTTACACCTACAAGTGTCAGCAAGAACACATGCAAAGATGCAGAGAGTTAGACAACGCTCAGAAGGCTACACAGGCCAACACATACTTGCATACTTCACACATCCTTAGCTATGCTTCAATATTTTCTTTTGGTTAATGTAGGTGCAAAATATCTCAAATGCATACCAATTACATACAAATTGAACAGATTGAAGGAGGACACGTCTTAAGCTAAATCTGCACAGAAATGGCTGGCATTTGTTTAATATGTGAGTGCAACATGTTTCCAAAGACTAGGGAGCCTTAGCCATATAAAATGGTGAGGGAGATGCTTATAGAATCTATCAACTTTCATCACTAGGAGATATTTAAGTGTTGAAAGGGTTCAAACTGCAAAAAAGCTACTATAAGATCCTCTACCTAGTAACATTTCAGCATCAACAGTGGATATTGAGGTTTCAATGGGCATTTCATTTGATAAAAAAATTGAGATGCATATCTTAAGCATTCCAGTCAATAAGCTACATTATGCTATGGGATCAAAAGACATTGCCATGGAGTTTGCATTAAAAATAAGAGATAGGTAGCAACATTTAAAGCTGGGCCTATAGTCCAAATGGTAAGGACTGCACAGCATAATCTTGACGCAGAAATTTGAGGCTCGCATCAAAGAAAATGATATCAGACAGATAGCAAAAGTTGAACTTCAACCAACAAAAAGGAAGAAACTTTTTAGTCTTCAGTCCAACTCCATTTAGAATACGATAACACAGAGACAACCAGATAATAGGGTATATCTTCGGGCT